AAATTTCTAGTCATCACAGAATCCAGAAAAAATGAATTACGGTTTCCACAAAATTATTAAGCAGCTCAATAATAATAATAATAATAATAATAAATGTTTCTTGAGCACCGAATCAGCATATAAGAATGATTTCTGAAGGATCATGTGATCATGACGATTGGAGTAATGATGCCGAAAATTCAGCTTTTCTAATCACATGATTAAATTACTGTTTAAAATATATACAGTGTATATAAAAAGAAAATGATTATTTCAAATTATAGTAATATTTCACAATGTTACTTTATTTTGGAGCAAATAAATGCAGCCAAAACACTTAAATGTTAGTTTGTAGCACTGTTTGTGTATTTTTGTAGTTTTCATGTAACTTGAGAAGCTTTCCCAACAATAAACATTTCACTCTCAATGGTACATGCATACAGTATGTGCTCAGAAAGATGGGAAAATATCCAGCAAGTCATGCAAACATGCCAGTGGTTCTTTACTTGAACCCTCAAATCAAATGAACACTTGTTTGCAATCATTCAAAACGGCACGCTCACATGATGAATGTTTTTTGTTAATTTTAGATGAGGATAAACTTCTCACTAACAAATAATGTAGCCTGAGCCTGTGGGACCGGGAGTAGGTTTAGCCAGAGATCCGCAAACCTGAACCTGGATCATCAATCGCATGGTGTAACAGCTTCTGCTGCTGCTTTTAATTTCCCCAGTGCCTCTGAGTCCTGACTCCGTACCGCTGGAAGGAGTTTCACTTTAAAGTGACAAAGGCATTTACTGAGGGAGAAATGATGTCAGTCGATGCCGGACTCTGAGCTGCCCGCTCCGATGGGAGAGGGTCATTACTTTGCATGAGGATGCAAACTTCTGATCTAAAACCTCCATTGTCAGGATAATTTGCATTCAATTGCAATACCAAAATCCGCTCACATGGTGAAGGTTTAACCATCAGAGTGTGTTATGGGAAGTCATTAAGCCTGGATCAGTACAGCGTGTTTAAGCATGCATGTGTAACTGAATGAAAAGCCAAGTATGGCTGGTCACCAGCTTATGTTGTTTTAGATGCTGGTGTACTAGTGGAGGCTTCTTAACTACCTTAACAAGCCCAATTAGTCTAAATGTTGGTTGCAAAATTATTTATTCTCTCAGATGGGGTGAGTTACACCTCACATCATTCTGAATTTCCATGCTGGTTTAGGCAAGTTGAATCAGTATGGCCATGATGTTCACCATGATGTTGTCTTTCTGATGAAGCTGGTTGACCAGCCATGTTTTGCTAGTGAATAGCATGGGCAGCTGAGGGAATCAAACAATCCATTTAAATTCAGACCAGTTCATTCTAGTGAATCATTCATTCAGACAGCTTGAGTAAATGAATTGATTAAAAAAACGATTTGAGTCTGTATACAATGTTTTTGATTTAAGTACATTAGAGTATTTTTGTTGTACTTAATAAAAATTCTAATATAAGTTTATAAAAGTTGGTTCTAATTCAATTTTAAATTATATCATTGGTTTTGGGAGAGCTTTCCCTTTAAGGATGCAATAAACATCCTAAAAATAAGGTCACATTAGATAATATCAATTATTGCATTGACTAACAATGAGTAATGAATTTGATACAATATTTGTTCATCTTTGTGAAAGGTTATTAACTGTTCATTGTTAGTTAATGTTAACTCACTTCCATTAAATAATGTTAGCAGATAAAACTTAATTGCATTTTTCATTGTTGATTCATGTTAACTGATGCAGTTAACTAATGTTATCTAACGACCTCATTTTTAAAGTGTTAGCCAATAGACTAAAATTAAAACTATTAAAAGCCATGTTTGGCAATTGAAATAAAGCTGAAATAAAATAAAATATAAACATTAGATGTCAAACTTAAATTAAAAGAAAAAAACTACTTCAGAGAAAATTTGAAATGTTAGAAAAATATTTAAATGGAGTAAGTTTTAGTTGAGGACTAAAATGACTAAAACAGAAATAAATATAAATGATAAATTAAATATAATATAACATATACATTTACTCATTGAAACATACTGTCCATGTTTGACACTGATGCTCTAGGTAAGAGTCAAATTTAAGTTATGATGAATATTGTCAGCCTTTTTTTAATGAAACATTACCTCATTACCAAGACAAGACTGTGGTGGAGATGTAGAAAAAAACAGCACTATCAGATTTAATTTAGTGTACTTTGTTAAATTTATATAATCTTGAATAAGTGATATCCATCTCCTACACGGGGCAAATTAATGTTTGATTGTTATGCCAATTACAGGTTTAATTCCACAGATTCAAATCAACTTGCCAGCCGGACAGGAACATTTTTCTGCTGTCAAAAGTCAGTTTAAGGAAAAAAGTGCTAATTTTAACACCAATTCTCATGAAAATTTCAGGCTGCCAAGTCTCTCATTGATTTCCATGAAATCCATAAAAGAGTGGCTGTGCCTAGAATACATCTAACTTTCACACCTAATGTGGCCGATCGCAAAATCAACAGATTTCATATTCAGAACAAAGGCCAACCATCCATATCCCATCAATATAGTGAGCACGTAAGTCAAAAGTGCACGCTATTGTTATTACAAAGGTAATCAATCACTCCTTTGTGCAATTGGCATTCTGGTGCGGACCGGTGGAAGTGTGCAAAGATAATGAATGAAAAGACTGGAGCACATGGAGCCCCAGGAGAGGAACTGTCACAGAGGAGATGTGATGGGGGGAGTTTGGGCCCGGCTTGAACGATGAAGGATCACATGACTTATCTTGTCTGGACAGCTAAGATGAGAGGTGAGGAGAGCAGGTTCTTAATAGACTCAGCTGGACAATGATGAAACAAGAAAATGGTATTAGGACAGATTAATGACTGGACAAGTGGACATCTATTATAAAGCATTACTATTTGATGGCTATGGATGGATAAGAATGCTAGCAAGAAACTCTATACAATGTAGAAGCAGGGCCGGATTTACCTCTTTTCGTGACATAGCCAAAACAAATTTTTGGTCCCCCCTTCCTTATTAATATAATAGGCCTAATATTACCACCCAAGCAAACAAAAATATTTCTTTTTTTTAATTTTATTTTTATTAACAGACAAAAACACAATAATACAAAGGGTTAAACCATATTAAGGAACAATAATCGAAAGAAAACAATATATTTTTTTTATTTATTTTTGAAAGAAATCTCTTATGCTTATCAAAGTCTTGTCACTTCCTGTCTGTTGCACCCAGATTATCAAGGTCAGTCCTTCGGTATCCTAGTCTGGTATCCAGTGTGAGGGATGCACCGCTGCTGTCTGCACGCGCAGCTGGTATCCCCAAACCCCCTCACTCTAGCTCTCCTGTTCCTGAACTGTTTCCCCTGTCTGAAGCGCTTCCCATGATGGGGATCGCTTTTTGGTAAGTTTGGGCTGCATACATCACCACAGAACCTCCTGAGGTGGCGGCGTCCACTATGGTGTCTCCAGAGGTGGCGGCAGAGGCTGCAGAACCTCCAGAGATGGCGGTGCTCGCTCCAGGTCCTCCAGAGGTGGCGGCTACAGTTGCAGAACCTCCCATCAGCAAATGTATTGCTGATGGCGCCCAGCAATACATTTTCAGCCCGTCATGTCACGGTCGAAGGAACCATAGATGAACACTGTACCTGTCCTGTTAAGGAGGATGTTAATGAACTCGTTCCCTGATGTTACTACTGTAGAACCTCCAGAGGTGGCGGCATCTGCTGCAGAACCTCCAGAGGTGTCAGTGGTATCCATTTTTAAACTCTCTGCCTGTTCCGCCACGGCTATGGAGGCCGTCTGTGAATTCTCTACCTGTCCTGTCACAGCTAAGGAGGCCACCTGTGAATTCTCGTCCTGTACTGTCCCGGCCAAGGAGGCCATCTATGAACTCTTGCCTTGCTCTGAACCAGCCCATGATGCCATCTCCGAACTCTGGTCCTGTTCTGAATCAGCCATGGAGGCTGATTGTGAACTGTCTGTCTTGCCAGTTTCTGTCACTGAATTGTCTGCTTATCTGGTCTCCGTTAACGACCATTATTTTCAACTTTCTGCCAGTCCTGTTTCAGTCTGTAAGTCTAATGTTGAGCCAGTTGTCTGTCCCCTTTCAAGTAATGTGTTTGAAGTCTCTGTCAGTCCCATTGAAATCAATTAACCTGTTATCTGCCCCCTCAGTCCAGTCCCGACCCCAGAAACCTTACCTGAGCTCCCTGAAGGCTCAAGTAACCTTGTCATAGCCCAAAGATCCGCCTTTGACCTCTTAACTCTGTCTGTCATGAGCCCAGAAACTACAAAAACACTCCATGTCTGTCCCGTTACCCCTGTCATTTCCAAAGAGACCACTAATAAACTGTCTACCTATCCTGTTTCAGTCAAGAAGTCTAGTTTTGAGCCATATGTCTGTCCTGTTTTGACCAATGCGACTGATTTTGAATGGTCTGCCTGTCCAATTTCAGTCAGTGAGTCTGTTTATAAACTGGCTGCCTGTCCAGTTTCAGTCAATGAGCCTGTTTATGAACTGTTTTCTTGTCCAGTTTCAGTCAATGAGCCAGATTTTGAACTGTCTACCCATCAGAGGTCAACAGGGAGACTATTGATAAACTTCTTGTGTTCCCTGGCTCGGTCCCTGAGACTGTGAATGAACTGTCTGTGTTGCCTGTCTCTGTTCTCCCTAGGTCTCAGTCTTTGCCATGGGTCTCTGCTCTGTCTGCTCAGTCGTGGAGGTCTTCTGCTCCGTCAGCTCTGCCGTGGTGGTCTTCTGCAGTTATTTTACATTGTAATATTTTTCAATATGAGTTTTTTTCTGTATTTTTGATCAAATAAAAGCAGTCTTGGTGAACGTAATAGACTTTTCAAAAACAAATCTATCTAACACCAAACTTTTGAACAGTACATTATTTTATGCTGAATATCCTAATTCATGCAAATCTCCACCTAGAGATGCAAATCCACAATATCTGCGTAGTTCATTGTTGTCAGTAGTTTTTGATTAATGTGTTATTCATATGAACAGTATTGCAGATAACCTCCCTGTGGCCACACGGCTGGAGCTTTACCCAAACAAAGAGGAAGGAATGGAAGAGGAACAGAGGAAGGACACACAGAAGGATATCCAGTTTGAGCATGGCTACAGACTCGGCTTCACCGAAAACAACAAGGTAGTCCTGAAGAGCATCATTTTCATTAGCAGAATTTTATGCCAGTCTATAGATGTAGACAGTGAGCAATTATTTATTCATGGACATTGATTTCCATAACAGAAAATTGCACCTATTGACCTATTGTGGAAATATGCATTATTTTTGGTGATATCATTTTGGTTCTCACTTCTGATTTTGCATGATTGATTGACACATACTGTCTTGCTCTGCCCTTGTAGTTCTATTTGCACAACCATCTGTCATTCATCCTGTACTACCACAAAGAAAAGGTGGAGGAGGATGTCGAACACAATTACAGAGTTGTACGTTTCGAGGTGATGCCAAAGAGTGTAAAATTAGAAGGTAAGTCACCAGCAATGCAAGGAAATGTAAAATTTAAATTGTGAAACATGTTGATAGGTGGGGTGACGACAGAAAATGTCCATTTTATATCTATCTATCTATAAAATTGATAAAAAGTGATAGTAAATTTCTATTTCAACTAAATATTGTTCCTTTCTATTTATCAAAGGATCCTGAAAAACATGATCACGGTTTCCACAAAATTATTAAGCAGCTCAATAATAATAATAATAATAAATGTTTCTTGAGCACCGAATCAGCATATAAGAATGATTTCTGAAGGATCATGTGATCATGACGATTGGAGTAATGATGCCGAAAATTCAGCTTTTCTAATCACATGATTAAATTACTGTTTAAAATATATACAGTGTATATAAAAAGAAAATGATTATTTCAAATTATAGTAATATTTCACAATGTTACTTTATTTTGGAGCAAATAAATGCAGCCAAAACACTTAAATGTTAGTTTGTAGCACTGTTTGTGTATTTTTGTAGTTTTCATGTAACTTGAGAAGCTTTCCCAACAATAAACATTTCACCCTCAATGGTACATGCATACAGTATGTGCTCAGAAAGATGGGAAAATATCCAGCAAGTCATGCAAACATGCCAGTGGTTCTTTACTTGAACCCTCAAATCAAATGAACACTTGTTTGCAATCATTCAAAACGGCACGCTCACATGATGAATGTTTTTTGTTAATTTTAGATGAGGATAAACTTCTCACTAACAAATAATGTAGCCTGAGCCTGTGGGACCGGGAGTAGGTTTAGCCAGAGATCCGCAAACCTGAACCTGGATCATCAATCGCATGGTGTAACAGCTTCTGCTGCTGCTTTTAATTTCCCCAGTGCCTCTGAGTCCTGACTCCGTACCGCTGGAAGGAGTTTCACTTTAAAGTGACAAAGGCATTTACTGAGGGAGAAATGATGTCAGTCGATGCCGGACTCTGAGCTGCCCGCTCCGATGGGAGAGGGTCATTACTTTGCATGAGGATGCAAACTTCTGATCTAAAACCTCCATTGTCAGGATAATTTGCATTCAATTGCAATACCAAAATCCGCTCACATGGTGAAGGTTTAACCATCAGAGTGTGTTATGGGAAGTCATTAAGCCTGGATCAGTACAGCGTGTTTAAGCATGCATGTGTAACTGAATGAAAAGCCAAGTATGGCTGGTCACCAGCTTATGTTGTTTTAGATGCTGGTGTACTAGTGGAGGCTTCTTAACTACCTTAACAAGCCCAATTAGTCTAAATGTTGGTTGCAAAATTATTTATTCTCTCAGATGGGGTGAGTTACACCTCACATCATTCTGAATTTCCATGCTGGTTTAGGCAAGTTGAATCAGTATGGCCATGATGTTCACCATGATGTTGTCTTTCTGATGAAGCTGGTTGACCAGCCATGTTTTGCTAGTGAATAGCATGGGCAGCTGAGGGAATCAAACAATCCATTTAAATTCAGACCAGTTCATTCTAGTGAATCATTCATTCAGACAGCTTGAGTAAATGAATTGATTAAAAAAACGATTTGAGTCTGTATACAATGTTTTTGATTTAAGTACATTAGAGTATTTTTGTTGTACTTAATAAAAATTCTAATATAAGTTTATAAAAGTTGGTTCTAATTCAATTTTAAATTATATCATTGGTTTTGGGAGAGCTTTCCCTTTAAGGATGCAATAAACATCCTAAAAATAAGGTCACATTAGATAATATCAATTATTGCATTGACTAACAATGAGTAATGAATTTGATACAATATTTGTTCATCTTTGTGAAAGGTTATTAACTGTTCATTGTTAGTTAATGTTAACTCACTTCCATTAAATAATGTTAGCAGATAAAACTTAATTGCATTTTTCATTGTTGATTCATGTTAACTGATGCAGTTAACTAATGTTATCTAACGACCTCATTTTTAAAGTGTTAGCCAATAGACTAAAATTAAAACTATTAAAAGCCATGTTTGGCAATTGAAATAAAGCTGAAATAAAATAAAATATAAACATTAGATGTCAAACTTAAATTAAAAGAAAAAAACTACTTCAGAGAAAATTTGAAATGTTAGAAAAATATTTAAATGGAGTAAGTTTTAGTTGAGGACTAAAATGACTAAAACAGAAATAAATATAAATGATAAATTAAATATAATATAACATATACATTTACTCATTGAAACATACTGTCCATGTTTGACACTGATGCTCTAGGTAAGAGTCAAATTTAAGTTATGATGAATATTGTCAGCCTTTTTTTAATGAAACATTACCTCATTACCAAGACAAGACTGTGGTGGAGATGTAGAAAAAAACAGCACTATCAGATTTAATTTAGTGTACTTTGTTAAATTTATATAATCTTGAATAAGTGATATCCATCTCCTACACGGGGCAAATTAATGTTTGATTGTTATGCCAATTACAGGTTTAATTCCACAGATTGAAATCCACTTGCCAGCCCGATAGCAACATTTTTGTGCTGTCAAAGTCAGTTTAAGGAAAAAAAGCACTAATTTTACCACCGGTTCTCATGAAAATTTCAGGCTGCCAAGTCTCTCATTGATTTCCATGAAATCCATAAAAGAGTGGCTGTGCCTAGAATACATCTAACTTTCACACCTAATGTGGCCGATCGCAAAATCAACAGATTTCATATTCAGAACAAAGGCCAACCATCCATATCCCATCAATATAGTGAGCACGTAAGTCAAAAGTGCACGCTATTGTTATTACAAAGGTAATCAATCACTCCTTTGTGCAATTGGCATTCTGGTGCGGACCGGTGGAAGTGTGCAAAGATAATGAATGAAAAGACTGGAGCACATGGAGCCCCAGGAGAGGAACTGTCACAGAGGAGATGTGATGGGGGGAGTTTGGGCCCGGCTTGAACGATGAAGGATCACATGACTTATCTTGTCTGGACAGCTAAGATGAGAGGTGAGGAGAGCAGGTTCTTAATAGACTCAGCTGGACAATGATGAAACAAGAAAATGGTATTAGGACAGATTAATGACTGGACAAGTGGACATCTATTATAAAGCATTACTATTTGATGGCTATGGATGGATAAGAATGCTAGCAAGAAACTCTATACAATGTAGAAGCAGGGCCGGATTTACCTCTTTTCGTGACATAGCCAAAACAAATTTTTGGTCCCCCCTTCCTTATTAATATAATAGGCCTAATATTACCACCCAAGCAAACAAAAATATTTCTTTTTTTTAATTTTATTTTTATTAACAGACAAAAACACAATAATACAAAGGGTTAAACCATATTAAGGAACAATAATCGAAAGAAAACAATATATTTTTTTTTATTTATTTTTGAAAGAAATCTCTTATGCTTATCAAAGTCTTGTCACTTCCTGTCTGTTGCACCCAGATTATCAAGGTCAGTCCTTCGGTATCCTAGTCTGGTATCCAGTGTGAGGGATGCACCGCTGCTGTCTGCACGCGCAGCTGGTATCCCCAAACCCCCTCACTCTAGCTCTCCTGTTCCTGAACTGTTTCCCCTGTCTGAAGCGCTTCCCATGATGGGGATCGCTTTTTGGTAAGTTTGGGCTGCATACATCACCACAGAACCTCCTGAGGTGGCGGCGTCCACTATGGTGTCTCCAGAGGTGGCGGCAGAGGCTGCAGAACCTCCAGAGATGGCGGTGCTCGCTCCAGGTCCTCCAGAGGTGGCGGCTACAGTTGCAGAACCTCCCATCAGCAAATGTATTGCTGATGGCGCCCAGCAATACATTTTCAGCCCGTCATGTCACGGTCGAAGGAACCATAGATGAACACTGTACCTGTCCTGTTAAGGAGGATGTTAATGAACTCGTTCCCTGATGTTACTACTGTAGAACCTCCAGAGGTGGCGGCATCTGCTGCAGAACCTCCAGAGGTGTCAGTGGTATCCATTTTTAAACTCTCTGCCTGTTCCGCCACGGCTATGGAGGCCGTCTGTGAATTCTCTACCTGTCCTGTCACAGCTAAGGAGGCCACCTGTGAATTCTCGTCCTGTACTGTCCCGGCCAAGGAGGCCATCTATGAACTCTTGCCTTGCTCTGAACCAGCCCATGATGCCATCTCCGAACTCTGGTCCTGTTCTGAATCAGCCATGGAGGCTGATTGTGAACTGTCTGTCTTGCCAGTTTCTGTCACTGAATTGTCTGCTTATCTGGTCTCCGTTAACGACCATTATTTTCAACTTTCTGCCAGTCCTGTTTCAGTCTGTAAGTCTAATGTTGAGCCAGTTGTCTGTCCCCTTTCAAGTAATGTGTTTGAAGTCTCTGTCAGTCCCATTGAAATCAATTAACCTGTTATCTGCCCCCTCAGTCCAGTCCCGACCCCAGAAACCTTACCTGAGCTCCCTGAAGGCTCAAGTAACCTTGTCATAGCCCAAAGATCCGCCTTTGACCTCTTAACTCTGTCTGTCATGAGCCCAGAAACTACAAAAACACTCCATGTCTGTCCCGTTACCCCTGTCATTTCCAAAGAGACCACTAATAAACTGTCTACCTATCCTGTTTCAGTCAAGAAGTCTAGTTTTGAGCCATATGTCTGTCCTGTTTTGACCAATGAGACTGATTTTGAATGGTCTGCCTGTCCAATTTCAGTCAGTGAGTCTGTTTATAAACTGGCTGCCTGTCCAGTTTCAGTCAATGAGCCTGTTTATGAACTGTTTTCTTGTCCAGTTTCAGTCAATGAGCCAGATTTTGAACTGTCTACCCATCAGAGGTCAACAGGGAGACTATTGATAAACTTCTTGTGTTCCCTGGCTCGGTCCCTGAGACTGTGAATGAACTGTCTGTGTTGCCTGTCTCTGTTCTCCCTAGGTCTCAGTCTTTGCCATGGGTCTCTGCTCTGTCTGCTCAGTCGTGGAGGTCTTCTGCTCCGTCAGCTCTGCCGTGGTGGTCTTCTGCATCGTCAGCTCTGCCGTGGTGGTCTTCTGTCCCGCTCTTGTCTTCTGCTCTGTCAGCTCCGGCCTGGAGGTCTTCTGCTT